GATTCTCTGCAAGATCATGACAAACGTCTGTTCCTCCATATAGCCTGTTTCTTCATAGGAAAAGACAAGGATTTTTCAACTACAGTCCTTGATGAATGTGAGTTTGCCACAAACATTGGAATTCAAAATCTGGTTGATAGATGTCTGCTGATAATTGATGGATTCAACAAGTTAACCATGCACCAATTACTTCAAGACATGGGAAGGGGAATTATTTGCGAAGAATCGCCTGAGGATCCTGGAAAACGTACTAGAGTGTGGAATAAAGATGCCTCTAATGTTTTGAGAAAATTAACTGTAAGAAATATCTTCTTTTACGTCTATGTATTCGTAATTGTGTTGTGCATAGTTACTCACCCAATGTTCTTATTTGTTACCAGGGTACAGAAACTATTAAGGGCCTCATGCTCAACATTCCTGTGTTAATAAAAGATGAGTCTTCTAAGATAATATCCAATGGAAGTAACAGAAAAAGATTCCACGTTGAAGATTATGATGGAAACTGTTCAAGCAGCCGAAGTTGGCTTGGTTTCTTCTCCTGGCAGTCAATTAGTTCTTCTTCAACAAACTCATTTCCTGTGTCAAATGAGATAGGTTTCAAAACAGAGGCATTTAGAAGGATGCACAATCTTGAACTCCTGGTGCTTGAAAATGTAAAAATCAGTGGAGGCTATGAAGATTTCCCAAAAAATTTAATATGGTTGTCTTGGCGAGGATTCGCTTTAAAGTCAATACCAACCAATTTTTACTTGGACAGTCTAATTGCTCTTGAGTTGCGGAACAGCAGCCTCCAACATGTTTGGAAGGGAACTAGGGTATGCTACTAATCTCTCTCTAGCTCTCTCTCTCTCTCTCTCTCTCTCACACACACACACACACAGAGACAAATTTAAAGATGATTATATATTTATAGAAACTAATTACTTTTTTTCTAAAACAGTTTCTTCCAAGACTGAAAATCTTAAATCTCAGTCATTCACATGGCCTTGTGACAACCCCTGACTTGTCAGAATTCCCTAACCTCGAGAGATTAATTCTTGAAGATTGCATAAATTTGAAAGAGGTGGATGAATCCATTGGAGATTTGGAGAAACTTGTTTTCTTGAATCTAAAAGATTGCAAAAATCTCATGAAGCTTCCAATAAGAATTAGTATGCTGCGATCTCTCCAGGAACTTATTCTCTCTGGTTGCTCAAATCTTGTGCTGCCTGCCAGTATGATCGTTAAAAATCAGTCAGACTCTACACCTAGTGACATGAAGAAACTCAGTCTGTTATCTGCAGTTAAATCGTGGCAATCAATCCAATCATGGGTATTGCCAAGAAAAAATCTCCAACTTACCAGTGCAAGTTTGCCACAATTTTTAAAAAGCTTAAATATGGCATACTGCAATCTGTCAGAAATTCCCAATGATCTTAGTTGCCTATCCTCATTGGACTATTTGAATCTAAGTGGAAACCCATTTTTGAGCCTATCAGTAAACATGAATGGTCTTAGTAAGCTCCAGATTCTTTTGTTGGATGATTGCACAAACCTCGAAATGATTCCCGAGCTCCCACCAAGTGTAGAGATTTTGGGCGCATGGCGATGTACTTCATTGAAAAGAGTACTACTAAACTTACCCAACATGTTAGAAACAATTACAGATGCGCTTTTATATTGCGAGAATTTAGTTGAAATTTCAAAGGTGTTCAAAACGAGACCGTTGAGAAGCGTCGATATAGAAATGATCAAAGATGGTCTGTTCAATTTGGAATCCATAGGAAGCACTGAAGTTAAAATGTTCAACAACATGACATTGACAACAAGGAAGGGTCCTCTCCAGGTTCTCTCTCTCTCTCTCTTTCTCATGTATTGTATAGTTTTTTATGATGATTATTTTCTGTGGCCTGTAATATTTGAACATATAAAAATCTCTGCATGCATGCATGAAACAGGGACTGGATGAGTGTGGTATATTTAGCATATTCCTTCATGGGAGCGAGGTTCCAGATTGGTTCTGCCACAAGTCGAGCATGGGTGACTCTGAGCTGTCTATAACTATACCTCCACATCGTAATTGGAAGATCCGAGGCCTAAATGCATGTGTTGTGTATGCACAAGGTAAGCATCGTGGTGAGGGGGTCCTTCCCATTCTTTACATCAGTAATGAGACCAAGGGTCTTAAGTGGACCTATCTGCCAGTCACAATAGCGTTTCCAAAAGAGAAGGAACATATGTTATGGCTTAGTCATTGGCGATTTGCAAACGATGAATTGGAGTGTGGGGATGAAGTACGTGTTTCGGTTAGAGGTGAAATAAGTGTTTTGGATAGAGGTGAAATACGTGTTTCGGCTAGAGGTGAAATAAGTGTTTCGGATAGAGATGATGAATTCGATATGTTGATGAAGGAATTTGGAATCCAGGTTGTGTACGAGCAGAATAATAATGAGGGTAGTGTAACTGAAGATATAACCACAATGTTCCAGCATGAAACAACTACCCCTTCGAGCCAGAATCAACTCGTTGCTGGAGATGTGTCAGCGTCAACATCATGGTTTCATAAAAATAATACAAATAAGGTGGGTGAATACTTTATTTGTAATTATGATGAATTGTGGAGGAGCCAATTAAGGCCTACAAAGGTCACTTGACCAACATTTAGAAAATATTTTTCTCTATGTTATCCAAATTGTTTTATAGCTATACTTATTATTGACCATTCTCACAAATGTAAATTGTTTACAATGAACATGAATATGATCTATATTTGTTTTCATGTCTTCATATGTCTTTTATGTGTGTGTGTCATGGATTTTATTTGATTTTCTCATTCTATCTAAAATGAATCAACTTTTGATACTCTTTCATTATTTTTAGGTTGCTAGAATTTGGGTTACACTTACTAAGATATTAAATTCGTGATATTGAAATTTAATTATTATAATGAATTCTTATATATATTTTCCTATAAAAACTAAATTCATTATAATTATAAAGCTATTTAAAGTTGACCATCCTTGATAGAATTCCTAGTTCCGCCATTGCTTGGGTTGATATTTGTTATTTTTTATTATGAATTATCACATCAAATAAGATTTTGGCCAAGCATCCAAAACTCCTATGTCGTTCGAAAAATAAATTTAAAAAATGCTTTAAAGGAGACCTTAACAACCATGGTATGTCATCTTCTGTTTGTGGTTTCTGTCAATTCCACAGGCCAAACAAAATAAACACATGAACAAAGAGAACAATACTTTTATAAAATAGAATTGACATAAGTGAAACGCGAGATAGCAGACACAACACATGACTTTAAGCTAAGGAACTTTAAACGTACTTCATAATTACTCAAAGTAGAACTTGTTCAAACTAAAACTAGTACAAAAACTAAAGATTTTTTTTTTAAGTACACCTCTAACTTACACTCTTACGCATGAAGAACGGATGCTGGCCAAGAAATCAATAACTTGATCTCCCATCACCCTCAGTTATCACGTCTTTGAAAGCACCGCCGCTTGGAATCATAGGCAGGACATGCTCTTGATGGGGTACGATTACATCCAACAAGTACGGACCGGGAGTGTCCAACATTTTCTGAATTGCAGCTTTAAGATCTTCCTTCTTCGTCACACGGGCAGCCGGTATCCCACAAGCATCTGCAAACTGCAGCATATTCGGGAATATCTCAGATTCATTTGATGGGTTCCCTAAGTAAGTGTGAGCTCTGTTAGCCTTATAGAAGCGATCCTCCCATTGCACAACCATACCCAAATGTTGATTATTCAACAGCAAAATCTTAATGGGAAGTTTCTCCACACTGATGGTGGCCAATTCCTGGACATTCATAATGAAACTTCCATCACCATCGATATCAACAACGATAGAATCCGGGTTTGCAACAGCAGCCCCAATAGCAGCAGGCAATCCAAAACCCATAGCTCCTAATCCCCCAGATGTCAACCATTGGCGAGGCCTCTTATACTTGTAAAACTGAGCTGCCCACATTTGGTGCTGCCCAACACCAGTGCTTATAATCGCATTCCCATCAGTTAACTCATCAAGAACCTGAATGGCATTCTGGGGAGAAATGGATTCTCCAAAAGTCTTGAAACCCAATGGAAACTTCACTTTCTGCTCTTTCAGCTCTGCCCTCCAAGCCGAAAAATCAAGTTGGACGTTTCTCTCTTTCCCCTCCAATATCCTATTCAATCCTTCCAACGCCAATTTGACATCAGCACAAACCGACACATGCGGCTGCTTATTCTTTCCAATCTCTGCCGAATCAATATCAATGTGGACAATCTTAGCCCGACTAGCAAAGGCCTCTAACTTCCCGGTAACACGGTCATCAAACCTCACCCCAAATGCAAGCAATAAATCAGACTTATCCACAGCATAATTAGCATAAACAGTCCCATGCATTCCAAGCATTTGGAGTGACAATTCTTCGTCGTTGCACGGGTATGCCCCGAGACCCATCAAAGTACTGGCAACCGGGATCCCAGTAAGCTCCACGAACCGCCTTAACTCCTCACTGGAGTTCAAACACCCGCCACCAACATACAACACTGGTCTCTTGGACTCAGACACCAACCTCACAATCTGCTCCAAATGATCCTCATTGGGGGTCTTGGGCAACCTAGACATATACCCAGGTAACTTAATGGGTTGATCCCAATTGGGAACCACAAGCTGTTGTTGCACATCTTTGGGTATATCAATCAACACGGGGCCGGGTCGACCCGAGGTAGCTAAGAAAAAGGCCTCACTAACAACCCTAGGAATGTCCTCTACATCAAGAACAAGATAATTGTGCTTGGTGATTGATCTTGTTACCTCAACAATTGGGGTCTCCTGAAACGCGTCCGTACCGATCATTCTTCGGGGGACTTGGCCTGTGATTGCCACCACCGGAATGCTGTCCATGAGCGCGTCGGCGAGGCCGCTGACCAAGTTTGTTGCGCCGGGCCCGGAGGTTGCAATGCACACGCCGGGACGTCCTGACGCACGAGCGTAGCCCTCTGCCGCAAACACGCCACCTTGTTCGTGGCGCGGGAGGACGTTGCGGATGGTGGAGGAGCGCGTGAGGGCTTGGTGGATCTCCATGGATGCCCCGCCAGGGTAGGCGAATACATTGGTCACGCCTTGCCGCTCGAGCGCCTCAACGAGGACATCGGCGCCTTTTCTGGGCTCGTCAGGGGCAAATCGGGAAATTTTGGTTTCTGTGTCTGGAGGGTTAGTGGTGGTGATGGTGGTGGTGGCGGTCTTGGAGGAGAGAGAGTTGGAGATTTGGAGGTGGCGGAGGAAAGTGGGTTTTTGGGGATGAGGAGAGAAGGGGAGGGTGAATCTGGAAATGGGGTTTGAGGATTTGGAAGAAACAGGGAAAGGAGAGGGTTTTGAGGAGGAACAGGAGGGTGGAGCAATGGCCGCCATTGTTGAGAAGCTGAGAATGCGTCAGAGAGAGCAGAGAGTGAAGTGAATTGATAGTTTCAGGGGTGGCTGCTAGACTAGGGAGTTTCGTGACCAAGAGATTCAATTTATATTTACCTTTCGGACCCAAGATTCTATTTATATCAATTTTGTAATGGAAGAAATGTTATTTACGTTTGCCTCCCTGTGGTGTGGCTCCTTTTTTTTATTTTTGTTTTTTGAACGAAACCCCCCCTGTGGCCCTTTGTATGTACCAATTTGGTAAAATTTCGGATACCCATTTCTCTTTTGGTGGAATATGTTCATGATACCAATTTATGATTAAAGTGTGACAAACTAAGTTGCTATGAGAACCCAAAAAGAAAATAAAACTATGTTGCTACTTCTTGCTACTTAGTAGGAGGGAGTACTTATTTTAAGGGAGACCAGCCAATTGATGACATCTGGCGAGGGTTACGAATGCAATTAATGAAAAGTTCATCCATGTAATAACACATGGAGTTGGCAATTTGATTAAGTTCATGTTTCTAGTCTTAGAGGGATGACCTTCTACTAATTCATCTTTGATTTGGTCAATTGGTTCAGCCAGAGGTCGGCAGCTGAGCCAAATTGAGACTAAATTTGCCTATTGGAATTTGGACAAATTAAAAAAAATATTCCTTACAAGTGTCGTTAATTCTATATTGACTAAATTTACCCATTGGTAATCAAGAAGAAAATTTTGGTTTGAGTTCATCACCAAGTTGTATTTTAGTGTAAAATTTACTACAAGTTTAGTCAAGAATGACAGCCCAAGGAATCAAAGGAACAAACTTTAAGACATTACATCTCCCTACGAAAACCAAACTTTTTATTTAGATGTTCCTGCATAAACACTAGGGAACATTTAGCTAGATTTACAAATATGGATCCCACTTGTCTCATGTCAAGACATATCTTAATTATTTGTTCAATAAAATTAACTTTGCCAAACAAATTTGGTATGTCTAACTATTTGGACACTCAAATTCATCACACATCGTCACATGGTGTTAATAATACATGTTTTATAATATGAATGGACGACATACTTTATATGTCATGAACCTTGTGTATAATATTGATCTATAGATGCACGTGTTGAAATATGAGTGGATTTATAACACCACATGACAGTCTGACCTTCATATTGAAGAATTACTCCACCATTATCCCTTCCATCAATATGATCATCAAGTCAAGTACAATTTTGTGGACAAATTTAATAAAATATTCCTTACAAGTGTCGTTAATTCTATATCGACTAAATTTACCCACTGGTAATCAAGAAGAAAATTTTGGTTTGAGTTCATCACCAAGTTGTATTTTAGTGTAAAATCTACTATAAGTTTAGTCAAGAATGACAGCCCAAGGAATCAAAGGAAAAAAACTTTAAGACATTACATCTCCCCACGAAAACCGAACATTTTATTTAGATGTTCCTGCATAAACACTAGGGAACATTTAGCTAGATTTACAAATATGGATCCCACTTGTCTCATGTCAAGACATATCTTAATTATTTGTTCAATAAAATTAACTTTGCCAAACAAATTTGGTATGTCTAACTATTTGGACACTCAAATTCATCACACATCGTCACATGGTGTTAATAATACATGTTTTATAA